TTAATGAGAGTGATACAAGGCAGGTTAATGAGAGTGATACAAGGCAGGTTAAGAGTGATACAAGGCAGGTTAAGAGTGATACAAGGCAGGTTAAGAGTGATACAAGGCAGGTTAATGAGAATGATACAAGGCAGGTTAATGAGAGTGATACAAGGCAGGTTAAGAGTGATACAAGGCAGGTTAAGAGTGATACAAGGCAGGTTAAGAGTGATACAAGGCAGGTTAATGAGAGTGATACAAGGCAGGTTAATGAGAGTGATACAAGGCAGGTTAAGAGTGATACAAGGCAGGTTAATGAGAGTGATACAAGGCAGGTTAATGAGAGTGATACAAGGGAGGTTAAGAGTGATACAAGGCAGGTTAATAAGAGTGATACAAGGCAGGTTAAGAGTGATACAAGGCAGGTTAAGAGTGATACAAGGCAGGTTAAGAGTGATACAAGGCAGGTTAATGAGAGTGATACAAGGCAGGTTAAGAGTGATACAAGGCAGGTTAATGAGAGTGATACAAGGCAGGTTAATGAGAGTGATACAAGGCAGGTTAAGAGTGATACAAGGCAGGTTAATGAGAGTGATACAAGGCAGGTTAAGAGTGATACAAGGCAGGTTAATGAGAGTGATACAAGGCAGGTTAAGATTGATACAAGGCAGGTTAATGAGAGTGATACAAGGCAGGTTAATGAGAGTGATACAAGGCAGGTTAAGAGTGATACAAGGCAGGTTAATGAGAGTGATACAAGGCAGGTTAAGAGTGATACAAGGCAGGTTAATGAGTGATACAAGGCAGGTTAAGAGTGATACAAGGCAGGTTAATGAGAGTGATACAAGGCAGGTTAAGAGTGATACAAGGCAGGTTAAGAGTGATACAAGGCAGGTTAAGAGTGATACAAGGCAGGTTAATGAGAATGATACAAGGCAGGTTAATGAGAGTGATACAAGGCAGGTTAAGAGTGATACAAGGCAGGTTAAGAGTGATACAAGGCAGGTTAAGAGTGATACAAGGCAGATTAATGAGAGTGATACAAGGCAGGTTAAGAGTGATACAAGGCAGGTTAATGAGAGTGATACAAGGCAGGTTAAGAGTGATACAAGGCAGGTTGAGTGAAACAAGGCAGGTTAAGAGTGATACAAGGCAGGTTAATGAGAGTGATACAAGGCAGGTTAATGAGAGTGATACAAGGCAGGTTAATGAGAGTGATACAAGGCAGGTTAAGAGTGATACAAGGCAGGTTAAGAGTGATACAAGGCAGGTTAATGAGAGTGATACAAGGCAGGTTAAGAGTGATACAAGGCAGGTTAAGAGTGATACAAGGCAGGTTAAGAGTGATACAAGGCAGGTTAAGAGTGATACAAGGCAGGTTAATGAGAGTGATACAAGGCAGGTTAATGAGTGATACAAGGCAGGTTAATAAGAGTGATACAAGGCAGGTTAAGAGTGATACAAGGCAGGTTAAGAGTGATACAAGGCAGGTTAAGAGTGATACAAGGCAGGTTAAGAGTGATACAAGGCAGGTTAATGAGAGTGATACAAGGCAGGTTAAGAGTGATACAAGGCAGGTTAAGAGTGATACAAGGCAGGTTAATGAGAGTGATACAAGGCAGGTTAAGAGTGATACAAGGCAGGTTAATGAGAGTGATGCAAGGCAGGTTAAGAGTGATACAAGGCAGGTTAATGAGAGTGATACAAAGCAGGTTAAGAGTGTTACAAGGCAGGTTAAGGGTGATACAAGGCAGGTTAATGAGAGTGATACAAGGCAGGTTAAGAGTGATACAAGGCAGGTTAAGAGTGATACAAGGAAGGTTAAGAGTGATACAAGGCAGGTTAATGAGAGTGATACAAGGCAGGTTAAGAGTGATACAAGGCAGGTTAATGAGAGTGATACAAGGCAGGTTAAGAGTGAAACAAGGCAGGTTAATGAGTGATACAAGGCAGGTTAAGAGTGATACAAGGCAGATTAAGAGTGATACAAGGCAGGTTAATGAGAGTGATACAAGGCAGGTTAATGAGAGTGATACAAGGCAGGTTAAGAGTGATACTAGGCAGGTTAAGAGTGATACAAGGAAGGTTAAGAGTGATACAAGGCAGGTTAATGAGAGTGATACAAGGCAGGTTAAGAGTGATACAAGGCAGGTTAATGAGAGCGATACAAGGCAGGTTAATGAGAGTGATACAAGGCAGGTTAATGAGAGTGATACAATGCATGTTAAGAGTGATACAAGGCAGGTTAATGAGAGTGATACAGGGCAGGATAAGAGTGATACAAGGCAGGTTAAGAGTGATACAAGGCAGGTTAATGAGGGTGATATAAGGCAGGTTAAGAGTGATACAAGGCAGGTTAGGAGTGATACAAGGCAGGTTAATGAGAGTGATACAAGGCAGGTTAAGAGTGATATAAGTCAGGTTAATGAGTGATACAAGGCAGGTTAAGAGTGATACAAGGCAGGTTAAGAGTCATACAAGACAGGTTAATGAGAGTGATACAAGGCAGGTTAAGAGTGATACAAGGCAGGTTAAGAGTGATACAAGGCAGGTTAATAAGAGTGATACAAGGCAGGTTAAGAGTGATACAAGGCAGGTTAAGATTGATACAAGGCAGGTTAAGAGTGATACAAGACAAGTTAATGAGTGTGATACAAGGCATATTAAGAGTGATACAAGGCAGGTTAAGAGTGATACAAGGCAGGTTAATGAGAGTGATACAAGGCAGGTTAAGAGTGATACAAGGCAGGTTAAGAGTGATATAAGGCAGGTTAAGAGTGATACAAGGCAGGTTAATGAGAGTGATACAAGGCAGGTTAAGAGTGATACAAGACAGGTTAATGAGAGTGATACAAGGCAGGTTAAGAGTGATATAAGGCAGGTTAAGAGTGATACAAGGCAGGTTAATGAGAGTGATACAAGGCAGGTTAAGAATGATACAAGGCAGGTTAAGAATGATACAAGGCAGGTTAAGAGTGATACAAGGCAGGTTAATGAGAGTGATACAAGGCAGGTTAAGAGTGATACAAGGCAGGTTAAGAGTGATACAAGGCAGGTTAATGAGAGTGATTCAAGGCAGGTTAAGAGTGATACAAAGCAGGTTAATGAGAGTGATACAAGGCAGGTTAAGAGTGATACAAGGCAGGTTAATGAGAGTGATACAAGGCAGGTTAAGAGTGATGCAAGGCAGGTTAATGAGAGTGATTCAAGGCAGGTTAAGAGTGATACAAGGCAGGTTAATGAGTGATACAAGGCAGGTTAAGAGTGATGCAAGGTAGGTTAAGAGTGATACAAGGCATGTTACTGAGAGTGATACAAGGCAGGTTAATGAGAGTGATACAAGGCAGGTTAAGAGTGATACAAGGCAGGTTAATGAGAGTGATACAAGGCAGGTTAAGAGTGATACAAGGCAGGTTAAGAGTGATACAAGGAAGGTTAAGAGTGATACAAGGCAGGTTAAGAGTGATACAAGGCAGGTTAATGAGAGTGATGCAAGGCAGGTTAAGAGTGATACAAGGCAGGTTAATGAGAGTGATACAAAGCAGGTTAAGAGTGTTACAAGGCAGGTTAAGGGTGATACAAGGCAGGTTAAGAGTGATACAAGGCAGGTTAATGAGAGTGATACAAGGCAGGTTAAGAGTGATACAAGGCAGGTTAAGAGTGATACGAGGCAGGTTAATAGTGATACAAGGCAGGTTAAGAGTGATACAAGGCAGGTTAATGAGAGTGATACAAGGCAGGTTAAGAGTGATACAAAGCAGGTTAATGAGAGTGATACAAGGCAGGTTAAGAGTGATACAAGGCAGGTTAATGAGAGTGATACAAGGCAGGTTAAGAGTGATACAAGGCAGGTTAATAAGAGTGATACAAGGCAGGTTAAGAGGGTTACAAGGCAGGTTAAGAGGGTTACAAGGCAGGTTAAGAGTGTTACAAGGCAGGTTAAGAGGATTACAAGGCAGATTAAGAGGTTTAAGAGGGTTACAAGGCAGGTTAAGAAGGTTACAAGGCAGGTTAAGAGTGTTACAAGACAGGTTAAAACGGTTACAAGGCAGGTTAAGACGGTTACAAGGCAGGTTAAGAGGGTTACAAAACAGATTAAGAGTGATACAAGGCAGGTTAATAAGAATGATACAAGGCAGGTTAATAAGAATGATACAAGGCAGGTTAATAAGAGTGATACAAGGCAGGTTAAGAGGGTTACAAGACAGATTAAGAGTGATACAAAGCAGGTTAATAAGAGTGATACAAGGCAGGTTAAGAGTGATACAAGGCAGGTTAATAAGAGTGATACAAGGCAGGTTAAGAGTGATACAAGGCAGGTTAATAAGAGTGATACAAGGCAGGTTAAGAGTGATACAAGGCAGGTTAATGAGAGTGATACAAGGCAGGTTAAGAGTGATACAAGGCAGGTTAATGAGGGTGATATAAGGCAGGTTAATGAGAGTGATACAAGGCAGGTTAAGAGTGATACAAGGCAGGTTAATAAGAGTGATACAAGGCAGGTTAATAAGAGTGATACAAGACAGGTTAAGAGTGATACAAGGCAGGTTAATAAGAGTGATACAAGGCAGGTTAAGAGTGATACAAGGCAGGTTAATGAGAGTGATACAAGGCAGGTTAAGAGTGATACAAGGCAGGTTAAGAGGGTTACAAGGCAGGTTAATAAGAGTGATACAAGGCAGGTTAAGAGTGATACAAGGCAGGTTAAGAGGGTTACAAGGCAGGTTAATAAGAGTGATACAAGGCAGGTTAAGAGTGATACAAGGCAGGTTAAGAGTGATTCAAGGCAGGTTAAGAGTGATACAAGGCATGTTAAGAGTGATACAAGAGCAGTAGAGAACTGTAGCAGTGCCTTTCACTGTGACCCCTGCTGCTGCTGCTGCTGGTGCTGCTGCTGCTGGTGCTGCTGCTGCTGCTGCTGGTGGCACTGGCGGCGGCGGCGACGGCGAAGGCGGCGGTGGTACGACGCCTCAGTGCCGGAAGTGCTAGAAAGTTTGTTAGTAACACTACGTGGACACCAGTACACCCTCCCAGTCCACCCACACCTGCATCAGCACACCCACACCTCCATCAGCTCGCCCACTCCTCCATCAGCCCTCCCACACCTCCAGCACCACGCCAACACGTCCATCAGCACGCCCACACCTCCGTCAGCACGCCCACACCTGCATGAGCACACCCACACCACCAGTACGCCCACATCTCCATCAGCATACCCACACCTGCATCAGCCCTCCCACACTTGCATCAGCTCACCCACACCTCCATCAGCCCTCCCACACCTCCATCACCACGCCCACACGTCCATTAGCACGCCCACACCTCCGTCAGCACGCCCACACCAGTACGCCCACATCTTCATCAGCACGCCCACACACCTGCATCATCACGCCCACACACAAGCAGGCAGCATCACACGCCCACCTGCTGGTCACGAATTCCAGGAAGTTGTCAGTAACTACGTGCAGGCCGGAAAACACACACACACACACACACACTCACACACACACACACACACACACACACACACACACACACACACACACACACACACACACACACACACACACACACACACACACACAGGTAAGGAGGGAGGCCCAGAAACAGTATGAAAATAACATAGCATCGAAAATCAAGACTGACCTGAAACTGTTGTATAGCCACACCAGGAGGAAGACAACAGTCAAAGACCAGGTGATCAGACTGAGGACAGAAGGTGGAGAACTCACAAGAAATGATCAGGAGGTATGTGAGGAGCTAAACAGGAGATTTAAGGAAGTTTTTACAGTAGAGACAGGAAGGGCTTTGGGAAGACAGCACAGAAGGGAACATCAAGAGGGAATATACCAGCAAGTGTTGGATGACATACGAACAACCGAGGAGGAGGTGCAGAAGCTGCTAAGTGACCTTGATACCTCAAAGGCGATGGGACCAGACATCTCCCTATGGGTCCTTAGAGAAGGAGCAGAGATGCTGTGCGTGCCCCTAACCACAATCTTCAACACATCCCTTGAAACTGGGCAACTACCTGAGAAATGGAAGACAGCAAATGTAGTCCCCATATTTAAGAAAGGAAACAGAAATGAGGCACTAAACTACAGACCTGTGTCTCTGAAATGTATTGTGTGCAAAGTCATGGAGAAGATTATCAGGAGGAGAGTGGTGGAACACCTGGAACGTAACAAGATTATAAATGAAAACCAGCATGGGTTCATGGAAGGCAAATCCTGTGTCACGAACCTTCTGGAGTTTTATGACAAGGTAACAGAAGTAAGACACGAGAGAGAGGTGGGTTGATTGCATTTTCCTAGACTGCAGGAAGGCTTTTGACACAGTTTCCCACAAGAGATTAGTGCAGAAGCTGGAGGATCAGGCGCATATAACAGGGAGGGCACTGCAATGGATCAGGGAATACCTGACAGGGAGGCAACAACGAGTCATGGTACGTGAAGAGGTATCACAGTGGGCGCCTGTGACGAGCGGGGTCCCACAGGGGTCAGTTCTAGGACCAGTGCTATTTTTGATATATACGAGCGACATGATGGAAGGAATAGACTCTGAAGTGTCCCTATTCGCAGATGACGTGAAGCTGATGAGAAGAATTAAATCGGATGAGGATGAGGCAGGACTGCAGAGAGACCTGGACAGGCTGGACATGTGGTCCAGAAACTGGCTTCTCGAATTCAACCCTGCCAAATGCAAAGTCATGAAGATTGGGGAGGGGCAAAGAAGACCGCAGACCTCACTCAGGGAGAAAGACCTTGGGGTGACCATAACACCGAGCACGTCACCGGAGGCACACATCAACCAAATAACTGCTGCAGCATACGGGCGCCTGGCAAACCTGAGAATAGCGTTCCGATACCTTAATAAGGAATCGTTCAAGACACTGTACACTGTGTATGTTAGGCCCATACTGGAGTATGCAGCACCAGTCTGGAACCCACACCTGGTCAAGCACGTCAAGAAGTTAGAGAAAGTACAAAGGTTTGCAACAAGGCTAGTCCCAGAGCTCAAGGGAATGTCGTACGAGGAAAGGTTAAGGGAAATCGGACTGACGACACTGGAGGACAGAAGGGTCAGGGGAGACATGATAACGACATACAAGATACTGCGGGGAATAGACAAGGTGGACAGAGATAGGATGTTCCAGAGAGGGGACACAGAAACAAGGGGTCACAACTGGAAGCTGAAGACTCAGACGAGTCACAGGGACGTTAGGAAGTATTTCTTCAGTCATAGAGTCGTCAGGAAGTGGAATAGCCTAGCAAGTGAAGTAGTGGAGGCAGGAACCATACATAGTTTTAAGAAGAGGTATGACAAAGCTCAGGAAGCAGAGAGGGAGAGGACCTAGTAGCGATCAGTGAAGAGGCGGGGCCAGGAGCTGAGTCTCGACCCCTGCAACCACAATTAGGTGAGTACACACACACACTAGAGAGTGATGTAGTGGAGGCAGGATACATGCGTAGCTTTAAGGAGAGGTACGATGAAGCTCATGGGGCAAGGAAAGTGAGCCTAGTAGCGACCAGTGAATAGGCGGGGCCAGGAGCTGTGACTGACTCCTGCAACCACAAATAGCTGAGAACGCAGAGTCTTCAAGACTCACAAGTTTAGTATAAGTCTGTCAGTCAAACTTTCTAGTTCAGTCTATGTTGTTTTATGTTAGAAAACGTCACAATGTATAAGTCACCGTACTTCAGTCCTTGGAAACAGGCCGTTTGTCTACAACGGTAGATTCACTCATCTGTTGCTGATTAACACCCTACAACGGTATGTTTGTTTCTCTGTTGTTTTACCTCTTAGTACTCAGCAACGGTATGTTAGTTTCCCTCTTGTTTTACTTAGTGCCCAGCAACGGTATATTACTTTCTCTGTTGTTTTCTTAGTACCCAGCAACAGTATATGGGTTTCCCTGTTTGATGCCACGCCATCTGAGTTTCTGTTGTTTATTTTTTTTATTTTACAACGGATGGGAGACAGCAACCACCCACCTGCACTCACAGTCCAGTCATATGAAGGGTGAAACGGAATCGTGTTAAATGTTTTACACTCTGGCAGGATTGCCAGTCTTGCCTCAGGAACACGTAAGGTAACGGGTAAACTCTACAAACTTCACTTTACATTTACATTTCCTGTTTGTTTAATAGTTCGTGTTCTTGTAATATTACAGGTTTAGAAGGCCCGGTCTCAGGCCGGGCCTCGGGGGCGATGCCCACCAGGAATCATTACCAGATACGATATTCACTGAAAACGTCAGTGTTTTGTATATTTGTGCCTCAGGTCGGTCTACAAGAGTAGGGAAACTCTCGATGCGAGTCGCAGGTAAAATAATAATAATAACAATAATAATAATAATAATAATAATAATAATAATAATATCTTTATTTCTACAAGTACATGTACAACGTGTACAGACCATAGCTGACATCAATGACATACTACTATATAGAAAGTCGCTTGTTATGTAGAGCATTTCAGCATTCAGTTTTGTCCCAGGATGCGACCCACACCAGTCGACTAACATCCAGGTACCTATTTTACTGATGGGTGAACATAGGTAACTGGTGTAAAGAAACACTCCCAATATTTCTACCCTCGCTGGGAATCGAACCCAGATCCTCGCCGTGTGAAGCGAGAGATTCACATGGAATAGAAGAGGATGGCTACACAGAGGGTGTTCCCACACTGTAATACACAGGTGATAATCAATTAATATGTAAAGGAGCTTTCTACCTGTTTCCGGAGCCAGGTTGGTGAAGGTCCATTGATTTTATCGTTGTACCTGTCAGTGGGAGCCTTTAAAGGATGCTAGTGGAAGCTGCGGTGGTGAGATGTGACGCTAGTGGAAGCTGCGGTGGTGAGATGTGACGCTAGTGGAAGCTGCGGTGGTGAGATGTGGAACTGATTTGTGTGTAGATGGTAGCGATGTTTTGGTTAATAAATAGTGATGTTGAGTGGCAAGAATGTTGAAAACATGGAGTGAAGATGTGTCTTTCTGGGATTGTGAGTGTATAGCAGGTTGTGGTGTAGGTACTGCTGTTAGTGCTGCTGTTACTGGTGGTGCTGCTACTGCTGCTGATGCTGCTATTGTTGCTGGTGGTGCTTATGTTGGTACTTCTGCTAATGTTGCTGCTGCTGCTGCTGCTGCTGTTACTGGTGGTGCTGCTGCTGATGCTGCTATTGTTGCTGGTGGTGCTTATGCTGGTGCTTCTGCTAATGTTGCTGCTGCTGCTGCTGCTGCTGTTACTGGTGGTGCTGCTACTGCTGCTGATGCTGCTATTGTTGCTGGTGGTGCTTATGCTGGTACTTCTGCTAATGTTGCTGCTGCTGCTGCTGCTGCTGCTGTTACTGGTGGTGCTCCTACTGCTGCTGATGCTGCTATTGTTGCTGGTGGTGCTGATGCTGGTGCTTCTGCTAATGCTGTTCCTGCTGATGCTGCTGCTGCTCTTGCTGCTGCTTCTGCTGCTGCTGCTGCTGCTGCTGCTGCTGCTGCTGCTGCTGCTGCTCCTACTCTTGTGATGCTGCTATTGTTGCTGGTGGTGCTGATGCTGGTGCTTCTGCTAATGCTGTTCCTGCTGATGCTGCTGCTGCTCTCGCTGCTGCTTCTGCTGCTGCTGCTGCTGCTCCTACTCTTGTGATGCTGCTATTGTTGCTGGTGGTGCTGATGCTGGTGCTTCTGCTAATGTTGCTGCTGCTGCTCCTCCTCCTCCTACTGCTGCTGCTGCTGCTGCTGCTGCTCCTCCTCCTACTGCTGCTGATGCTGCTATTGTTGCTGGTAGTGCTGGTGCTTCTGCTAATGTTGCTGCTGCTGCTCTTGCTGCTGCTGCTGCTGCTACTGCTGCTGCTGTTGCTGCTGCTCCTACTGCTGCTGATGCTGCTATTGTTGCTGGTGGTGCTGATGCTGGTGCTTCTGCTAATGCTGTTCCTGCTGTTGCTGCTGCTGTTGGATCAGCTTCGTTTCATCATCACTAGCCACTTCTTCTGATAGGTTTTGCGAATCTTACCAATCACTGTCGCCACCATCACCACCATATTTGCTGTTTTTCTATCAATACCTGAGGAAGCTGTGAGAACAAGGGTAAGTGAAAGTGAAGGTGTTGGAGGTACCTATGACGGATGTTTGTACATGGTGTTTACTGCCGGTGTTTTTAAAACATTGTGTGTACAAATATTTACAAGGAAGTGTGTGTGTGTGTGTGTGTGTGTGTGTGTGTGTGTGTGTGTGTGTGTGTGTGTGTGTGTGTGTCTGTCTGTGTGTCTGTGTGTGTGTGTGTGTGTGTCTGTGTGTGTCTGTGTGTGTGTCTGTGTGTGTGTCTGTGTGTGTGTGTGTGTGTGTGTGTGTGTGTGTGTGTGTGTCTGTGTCTGTGTGTGTGTGTGTGTGTGTGTGTGTGTGTGTGTGTGTGTGTGTCTGTGTGTGTGTGTCTGTGTGTGTGTGTGTCTGTGTGTCTGTGTGTCTGTGTATGTGTGTGTGTGTGTGTCTGTGTGTGTTTGTGTGTGTTTGTGTGTGTGTGGTGTGTATCTGTGTGTTGTGTGTGTGTGTGTGTGGTGTGTGTTGTGTGTGTGGTGTGTGTGTGTGTGTCTGTGTGTGTGTGTGTGTCTGTGTGTGTGTCTGTGTGTGTCTGTGTGTGTGTGTGTGTGTCTATGTGTGTGTGTCTGTGTGTGTGTGTGTGTATGTATGTATGTGTGTGTACTCACCTAATTGTGGTTGCAGGGGTCGAGACTCAGCTCCTGGCCCCGCCTCTTCACTGATCGCTACTGGATCCTCTCTCTCTGCTTCCTGAGCTTTGTCATACCTCTTCTTAAAACTATGTATGGTTCCTGCCTCCACTACTTCACTTGCTAGGCTATTCCACTTGCTGACAACTCTATGACTGAAGAAATACTTCCTAACGTCCCTCTGACTCGTCTGAGTCTTCAGCTTCCAGTTGTGACCCCTTGTCCCTGTGTCCTCTCTCTGGAACATCCTATCTCTGTCCACCTTGTCTATTCCCCGCAATATCTTGTATGTCGTTATCATGTCTCCCCTGACCCTTCTGTCCTCCAGTGTCGTCAGTCCGATTTCCCTTAACCTTTCCTCGTACGACATTCCCTTGAGCTCTGGGACTAGCCTTGTTGCAAACCTTTGTACTTTCTCTAACTTCTTGACGTGCTTGACCAGGTGTGTGTGTGTGTGTGTGTGTGTGTGTGTGTGTGTGTGTGTGTGTGTGTGTGTGTGTGTGTGTGTGTATGTGTGTGTGTGTGTATGTGTGTGTATGTGTGTGTATGTGTGTGTGTATGTGTGTGTGTATGTGTGTGTATGTGTGTGTGTATGTATGTGTATGTATATGTGTATGTGTGTATGTGTGTGTGTGTGTGTGTGTGTACTCACCTAATTGCACTCACCTAATTGTGGTTGCAGGGGTCGAGACTCAGCTCCTGGCCCCGCCTCTTCACTGATCGCTACTGGATCCTCTCTCTCTCTGCTTCCTGAGCTTTGTCATACCTCTTCTTAAAACTATGTATGGTTCCTGCCTCCACTACTTCACTTGCTAGGCTATTCCATTTGCTGACAACTCTATGACTGAAGAAATACTTCCTAACGTCCCTGTGACTCGTCTGAGTCTTCAGCTTCCAGTTGTGACCCCTTGTCCCTGTGTCCCCTCTCTGGAACATCCTATCTCTGTCCACCTTGTCTATTCCCCGCAGTATCTTGTATGTCGTTATCATGTCTCCCCTGACCCTTCTGTCCTCCAGTGTCGTCAGTCCGATTTCCCTTAACCTTTCCTCGTACGACATTCCCTTGAGCTCTGGACTAGCCTTGTTGCAAACCTTTGTACTTTCTCTAACTTCTTGACGTGCTTGACCAGGTGTGGGTTCCAGACTGGTGCTGCATACTCCAGTATGGGTCTAACATACACAGTGTACAGTGTCTTGAACGATTCCTTATTAAGGTATCGGAACGCTATTCTCAGGTTTGCCAGGCGCCCGTATGCTGCAGCGGTTATTTGGTTGATGTGTGCCTCCGGTGATGTGCTCGGTGTTATGGTCACCCCAAGGTCTTTCTCCCTGAGTGAGGTCTGTAGTCTTTGTCCACCTAGCCTATATTCTGTCTGCGGTCTTCTTTGCCCCTCCCCAATCTTCATGACTTTGCATTTGGCTGGATTGAATTCGAGGAGCCAGTTACTGGACCACATGTCCAGCCTCTCCAGGTCTCTTTGCAGTCCTGCCTCATCCTCGTCCGATTTAATTCTTCTCATCAACTTCACGTCATCTGCGAACAGGGACACTTCAGAGTCTATTCCTTCCATCATGTCGTTCACATATATCAAAAATAGCACTGGTCCTAGAACTGACCCCTGTGGGACCCCGCTCGTAACAGGCGCCCACTGTGATACCTCTTCACGTATCCCCTCCCTTTAGAAAAAAAACCCCCGTTAAAATTTAAAAACCCCCAAAAACAATTAGCCCCAAATTCAGGAAATTTTTTTAAAATCAACAAAAAATTATTTAAGTTGGGGAATTCTGATTAGCTTGTTTGGGGGTTTCCCTGTTCCCCCCTTGGAAAATTATTTGTCCCCCTTGTTTTTAGCTTGGATTCTAATACTCCCTGATTGTTTTTAGGTTAGTTTTTTTAACCCTTTCCCTAAATTCTTGAGGGGGGAAAACCTTTTGAAACCTTTTTTTTTCTTAAAATTTCTTGGATTTACCTTTAGACGTTAAAATAAGGGGTTAACTAAAGTTACAGTTTTAAAACGTTTCCTTAAAGGGTATAATACTATTACCCCAAGCGGGGTTAAGGTTATTTGCTCCGGGTTTGGGTTTTAAAAATCTTTCTTAGGGGTTTACTTAAAATTTAACCTGCTCCTTGTTTAAAATAATTTGATTTTGGATTGTAAAAAATAACTTTTTACCTTAGTTTTTGATTGAACCTGTTTTAATTTTTAAAAAATAGCTAAACCTTAGAAATTTCAGTCTTACATTTAAAATGATTTTTCCCTTTGTCCCCTTGGGGGACCCCCAAACGGCCCCCCAGTGTCCTCTTCCTCCTGCTCTTCTCCCCCCTGTCTTTCCCCTTCCTTCTCCCTTTTTTTCGGGGCCGTCCTCCGCTCCTTTTTGGGGGGCTTTCAAAGGCCTTCTGCTCTCTTTCCCCCCCTTTCCTCTTCTTCCTGTTTTTTTGTCTCCCCCTTTTTTTTTTTTCCCTCCCCCTTTTTTCATTTTTCTTGCCCCTTTCAATGTTCCCCTTCCTCCTGTTTTCTCCTGTTTTCCCTTTTTCTCCGGGTCTTTTTTCCTCCTTTTTTTCC